GATGTGAAAACCGGCTACTGCAGCACCGGAGTACCAGCCGTGGCACCCGTGTCAGCGACCAAACAACAGCGGCCATGCTGCAAGCCCCTGACGAGCAAACCGCCGGCCACTATCTGTTGCATCCCTCTCCCACACAACAAACGTCTGCTGCAAAAGATGGAGGGCGATACCGGTCACAATATGCAGCAACGTTCATGTTTGCAGGAAGCACCACGCCAGCCACCGCATGTAGCTTGACGACTCCCGGCGAGCTCCATCGGAGCGCCATGGCAGCACCACGGGACGCCGCAAAAGCTCCAACGTAGCACTGACAAATCCCGACTATGCTCCATTGCAACTCAGTGCAAGACCATGTGACGCAACAAAGCTCGCACGCAGCCGACGGCTCCCCGGCGATGCTCCATTACAGCACCGCCCTCAGGCCATCACCGGACCGCCGTCGCAATATATCTTGTAGTAGTTGATGGCGCATCGAGCACCGGTCCACAACACGGGCGGTCGCCGGTCCCTCGCAGCACCGGCCACCTTGCAGCGGCTCGCACGTGCCCTGTTTCTTTGCATCATCCGACGCCGATGAGGGCGCCTCACTTCTCGCAGCGACAGCGGATGCAACCAGCGGCCGTTGCAGCACCAGCGGCTGCTGCATCGCATCACCCAGAAGGTCAATGAGTGCTGCACACGAGCAGCAGTGTTTGGCTGTAGCGCTCATGTCGGAGGGAGCTCAGCGATAGGTTAGAGATGAAGAAAGGGAAACGTCGTTTGGGAAGAAAGGAGCTTCACGATCACGGGGAAGGGAATGGAGATAAGGTTGGCGGTTGGTGGGCCGCATGGAAACCTGCATGCTTACTGCGCAAAGTCCTTTTTACCGGAGCCGGTAGGTTTTTTTTTTTGAAGGTTAGGACAGTAGGAAAGGCTCCTACTGCTTATGTATTACCACCAAAGTAAAAGTTTGTTACATATGCACAAGGTGGGGGAGGGGAAGGAGTTAGAGAAACAACTATATAGCTAAGTTACAATATGGAGGCAATATCCTTAGCAAGGATTCCTCTATAGGTCTCCCTATGTATAGGATCATTGTATAGTAGCCAAAGTGTCGTGCACAAGTTGTTTTTTGTGGTTAGGTAGTCTGTGCAGGAGATCTCGAAAGTCATTGATGAACCGCCCTTTCCATGAGTCAATGCATGGCCGTATTTTTCTGAAATGGTTGTTATTGCGTTCTTTCCATAAGCTCCAAGCTGCCATGAGGAATATCTCCATGATCATTTTGTGATGGTGTCTTCCTTTCAATCTTTCCAGTAGCTGGAGGCGATGTCGGTGGTTGCTCCATGTGATGTTCAGTGTCCTCCAGCAGGACTGGCTAAAAGAGCAGTGGAAGAAGAGGTGTTCCACTGTTTCTTCAATGTGTTGGCCACAAAGCAAACAATCCAGATTGGCCCCTATGTTATAATGCCTCCGCTTTAGCATGTTCCTTGTATTGAGACGGTCAGATAGGAGTAGCCACCCAAAAACCTTTATTTTTGCCGTGCACTTAGTTTTCCATAGCTAGTTGAAAGCCACATGCGCCTTTATGTCTCTGAAGTAGTAGCTGTAATATGAAGTTGTTTTGAAACTGTGTGCGCCCCAACAGCAGATCCATGTATCATTCTTGTTTGTTAGTTCCACATTTGCAACTTCCCTTTGAATCTGCCGCAACTCATCGTGGGCTTGTACAGAAAGTGGGAGATGAAAGGTTGTGGCCAGATCAGTTGTGTTGAGGAAGGCTTGAACCGGAATGTCACCGTTCTTGCAGTAAGAAAATGCTCTTAGGTATTTTTCCTCATAAATAGAATGATTCCAGTCATCTTTCCAGAACAGGGTTGAGCTGCCATTGTGCACATTGACTTGGGTTACTCCTCGATAAATTGGCATTAATCGGATGAGGTCTCGCCACCAAAAGGATCTGCAGGGTTCTGTTGCATGGGGTACATAATCTGTATAATATGTATTACAGATGAGGCTAACCCAAGGTGTGTCTTGCTGATTGTAGAACTTGTGTAGGAGTTTGAGTAGCAGAGCGTCATTTTGAATATGAAGGTCCAGGACCCCTAGTCCGCCGCACTTTTTTGGGCGGCAAACCATGGACCAGGTAGCCAGTGAGTTATATTTTCTCCATTGTCCATTTTTTTATTCCAGAGGCAGTATCTTCTGATTTTGTCCAATTGTTCAATGATTTTCGGAGGGAGTCTTAATGTGCCCATGGGGTAGATAGCCAGCGATGTGATGAGGGAGTTTAGGAGTGCCAATCTACCTGCATAGGACATGAGCGACATAGTCGCAGTAACTTTTCTTTCTGCCTTGCAGACAAACGGTGTCAGGTCCAAAACCGAAGGTCGAGTGGTGCCTAAGGGCAGCCCAAGGTAAGTGAAAGGCATGGTTGCTTGAACACAGCCAAAGATCGCTGCCAGCTCATCACATTTGTCCTGAGGGGTGTTGATGGGCACCAAAGTTGACTTATGAAAATTGATTTTGAGTCCCACAGAGGTGGCATAATCCTCAAGAATCTGTTTGATCTTGGTGGCCTGATTGATGCAGGCAGGGAGGACAATTATCGTGTCGTCAGCGTATTGAATCACCGGATACTGGTCATTTACTTTTGGCGGGATTGGGTGTTGGATGGTCTGGTTTTGGAGTGCCTCATTTAGAGCAGTTTGGAGCAGGTCTGCAGCTAACACAAATAACAGAGGTGATAGTGGATCACCCTGACGTACTCCACATTTACAGAGAAATTGTCGACCTAGCACCCCGTTGAGAAGCACCGAGGATTTTCCCGATGAGAAGGTATTTTCCATCCAGTTTAGCCATTGAGTTGGAAAGCCCATGTGTTTCATAATTTGCAGCATCGCAGGGTGTTGGATCCGGTAGGTACCGGTGGTTCCCCAACCAATGGAATCTTGCGACCTCAAAAGTTGTCATAAGTTGTATTTATGTATTTTACTGTTTTCTCTATTTAAGTGAGTGTATTTCATCATATTGGGTAAACCCACATGATTTGACTAGCAGGGCCTATCCACGTGATTTCAACCATACCCCTCACTTTACACGTACGTCTGAGGCATGTCTCATTTCACACACAAACAGTACATACATAGCAATGCCATCATTTTTTAAACGATCACCCTCTCTCACTTTAAATGGATTTAAAATCTTTTAAAACACATATTTGAATTAAATTTTTTTATTTATTTATTAACTTTCATAGAACTGATTTGTTTCCTTAAAAAACATATTTTAATCCTTTCAAAAACATATTTCACTAAAAAGTCAAAATTGGTATTACAAAAGAGTGGCATAAGCAATTTCAAAAAACATTGCAATTATTTTGAGAATTATATAACACTTCCATAGGCTAAAATAATCTAGTTTCACCACATTGAAATATAAACTTCACATAAATTAGTTTAACAACTTGCAACACCACATTGAAAAATATTTCAGGGAAGTAATTTCATATATTTCAATACACATCTCACTGAAATAATAAGTTACAAATATGAGAAATAACAGATCTTATAATTCCTCGGCGTTTTCTTTTACTTATATGTTTTTTTATTATAGCTATCGCTACTAGATTTGATACTTGCAACAGGTAAGAACAAGGGGAGTTTTATCGGGGAGTCCCAATACTATTTCAAGTATCAGAAAAATTTCTGGCGCCGTTGCCGGGAGGGCTGCACCAGACAGACCAGGTACCTTCTGATACGTCAATTTTGCATCATGTTTTGGATCAATATTTTACTTTATGGTGCAATTCTAATGCATTTTCTCTCTTAATATACAAGATATACATGAAGAGGGAAATTGCTAGCAGCTAGAATTCTGGACATAAAAGAGCCATAACAGAGATAGCTATTCTCTGGAGCTCCAAATGACCTGAAATTTTATGGAGAATTATTTTGCAATATATAAAAAATACTAAAAGGAAAAAGTACCAAAGAAGATCAACAGTGGGACCACAAGGTAGGGGGCGTGCCCTACCCCCTGGGCACGCCTTGCCCCCCATAATCGAAAAAGGTTTACTAGCATGCCACGATGATGTTGGCAAACGCCATGATACCCGTTGCGTTCCATTCGTCGTGGCATTGCCGATTACTTGCTTCGGGGGCGCGCGACAAATGTTTTGCCACATGGCATATCCCCATCCATCATGGTGTTGCCCTGTTCCAGCGCCGAGGAACTCAACAAATGTTGATGCGCTTGCCACCGCCATTAACATGTCGTGTTTGCCAAGTGCTTGCTTTGAGGGCGCGCGACAAATGTTTTTCCACATGGCATGTCCTCATTCATCGTGGTGTTGCCCTGTTCAGGCGCCGAGCAACTCAGCAGATGTTTCTTCGCTTGCCACCGCCATTAACGTGTCGTGTTTGCCGAGTTCACTCTACACGGCACTCGACAAAGCTGTTTATATATGTTTGCCGAGTGCCTGTGGAAAAGAACCTCGGCAAATTAATTTTGCCAGGAGACATCAAGCCGAGTCGGTGTCTGACGAGTGCGCTTTCTCGAATGTCTTTGGCGCTTGGCAAAAATGGAAATTTCAGTAGTGAGTAGGAGATAGGAAATCATATCTTGTAGACATTGGACTTTTACGTCACGTATAGCACATGTGTACCGTGAATCCATGATCCTAGGTAGGCTGATCCTAACCCTCAAAAAAGCTTGGCTGATCTGGTACTAAATAGTATACTGTATAATTAAAACAAAATAGTGAATCCGTAAATCCACGATCCGTGACCATATGCTATGATCGAATACTAGTTACTAGTAGGATTCGGCGACAGAGTACGTTTGGGAGGCGTACACTCACGTTAGCCATGGTAGCGCTGGAAGTGAAATATATAGCTTCATAAAATCATCACAAATTTGACACCCCGGCCCTCCCGTATTCTTCATCTGTCCAGCCGCCGGACGTGAAGAATTAGGCAACCAATAAGAAGGAAGCCGAGGCAGCTCCCACGGCCAAGAAGATGAGGGCAGCCAAGAGGTGTAGGTCTGATGGGACCGCCGGACGCAGGGCACGGAAAAGGGCACGCGATATCCCGAAGCCCACCCAGGGCGATCTCATCAGCAGCCTTCCCGATGACATCCTTGAGGCCATCATCTCCCTCCTCCCCATCAAGGACGGCGTTCGCACGCAGGTCATCGCCCGGGGATGGCGTCCGCTCTGGCGCTCCATGCCTCTCGACCTCGACGGCACCGACATCTGCTCCAACAAATATAAGCGCATATCCGTCGTCTCCGGCATCCTCCGCGACCACCTTGGCCCGGCCCGCCGATTCACGTTCGAAAACATCTGCCTCCGCAAATCAAGAAAAGGGCACGCCAAGGACGACGCCCGGATCGAGAGCTGGTTCCACTCCCGGTGCCTCGACAACATCGAGGAGCTTGATATCAGCTTCCGGCTGTTGGGTAAAGCAGATGTGTCCAGGAACCGGTACCCGCTGCCATCGTCGGTGCTCCGCTTGGCACCAACTCTCGTTGTGGCCGGAATCGGCATGTGCAGATTCCCAAGTGAGATTGCACCTTGTCTGAATTTTCCCCTCCTCCGGGACCTCACTCTGTGGAGTCTTAGCATGTCGGAGGAAGCCTTGCATGTGCTGCTCTCTGCCTGCCATGTTTTGGAGACCCTATTTCTGCAGGATATTCGTGACGTCGACTGCCTTCGTGTTAGCTCTCCAACTCTGAGGATCATCTGGTTCATCCCTACTCATTTGGGGAGACAAGGATTGGTTATCGAGGACGTCCCTCACCTTGAAAGGCTACTTTGTCCAGCCTTAGATGGTGAGACTATTCGAGTACATAAGGCGCCTAAACTGAAGATATTGGGCCCTTTGTCACCCCACGTTTCCAAAATCGAGATTGCAAACCTAATCTTGCAGGTAGCGGCACCACCCTTATTGTCTCTTGCATTGAACAAATCCTAGACGATGCAGAATTGTTTCTAATGTCCATGCATTGTTTTCTGTAGGGAACGATCCCACCCAGCTTGAGCCATTCGATATGCACTGTGAATATTTTGGCTCTCAAGTTTGCTGGCCCAGATTTGAATGCGGTTCTCAATATCCTCCAGTGCTTCCCCTGCTTGGAAAAGCTCCATGTCATTGTAAGTGACCATTTTGTTCGCTTTAAATGATATAAATGAATACTTAATTCTCATTGTATTCTAAGTCAACTAGTTAGCAACTACTTTAACATATATCTGTTGTACCCTTTCGCAGTGGGACAACACCTTAAAGGTAGAGATGATCGACATGCATCAGTATGAACCCCTGAATCCAATCAAATGCCTTGAGAGCCACCTCAAAGTACTGGTGTTGAATAATTACATAGGCGACGAGGAAGATATTGGCTTTGCCAAGTTCTTTGTTTCAAATGCGAAAGTCGTAAAAGAAATCAAATTTGGAGTGTCTAATGAGATTGGCAACGATAGGAAATGGATGAGTAATCAAGTCACGCTGCTAGAGGTCGAAAATAGAGCTTCTCAAGACGTTCGGTTGAAATTCAGCACTGGTTATTCTCACTTGGGGACCTACGTGGATACAAGTGACTTACCAATTGCTGACCCCTTCGACAGTCGTTTTAACTTTGCCAATGGGGTAGATTGGACTTGGCGTTTCGTTTTCTAGATCCTTGCGAACAGTAAAATTGAAAAAAATAAATATGGATGGTTTGTGTTCTCAAAAGAAGAGTATGGATGCAACCACGTTTATTGTAGTGTTCGTCAGCAGTGTACTTGTGTAAAAAAAAAGGCTAGTTCCAATCAACGTGTCATACTTTTGTTGAAGTCTGAATTATCCATCCTTGTTCGCCAAAAAAAATGAAGACTGAATTATCCTTTATTTTTCACACAGAAGTATATATGAGTTTCTAATACTGGTGAGTTAAATATTATGCTGTAACATCTGAAAAACAATAAACTCCCTCGTCTTCAACTCCACGAATGAGAAACTCGATGTTGTTCTCAAAGCTGCGCCAAGGACGCCCGAAGAACAAGTGGAAAAAATTGATGTTGTTCTCAAACGACTAATGGTGCTTTTCGTTGCTCATCTGCTATAATTAAGGCTACCTTGGTAGCAGCCTGGTGCGATACCTTTGATTAAACTTGAACTCTTTTTCACCTCTTTTTCTCTCATCTTATCACTTATATATTTTGTGCCTTGTAACCGTTTGTCATTAATGTTCAGCACTTCAGCCTGGTCTCAGGCCCACCGTACTTACAGTAAGAAAAATGCTCGCGAAAGCTCAACCTAGTACTATTAATTCTATATTTCTCTTACACCCTTGGTCCCTATTGAACAATTTTTTTTGAACATAGTCCCTATTGAACAATTGATCGAGTTGTTCTAGTGGTTACAGTATATGTGCATTCACTAACAAATCATGTATTATTATTAGAAATTGCGTGATTATTATGGGAAGTACATGCAGAGACAATATTTCTTAGCGATGTTCAGTGACCAGTGCCTACATTCACATGGCATGAGAGTATGGGTCTTTCTCTCTGTGTACTTAAATCGACAAATCAACCACACGCTTGTCAAGGCTATTAGACGCATCTTGACCACTATGCCAGCCTACAGCGATTACGCGGTCACTTATTGATCTTCTATTTAGCCTACACAAGCTTGTTGTGAATACACCACCGACCCACGTACTTGACCTCCTCGGCCACAACACGGTCATGCAAGATGTCCACGCCGCTCTGGGGCGACGGCTGCCTTCGGCCACCGCCAGGGGTAGAAATCAGGGCACTCACATATCCCTGTGAGCCCGGCCCGCGTGCAACGAGTGGTGCGCCTTAACCCACTTCTTGATGTCTCGGCTCCGGTACAACACCGTGATCCCCATAATGTTCTCCTTGCTACCCACCACCGATCTTCAGTGTCTGCACATATATCATATACATACAATATATAATCTTTACTAGCACAAATGCCCGTGCGTTGCAACGGGAGAAAAAAAAATCCTTGAACCCTTTTACAAAATGAACCCAATGTGTAGAACACAAGATTGAATCTCGTTGTGCAGATGTGGTAGCGATAAAAGATCTCAAGTGTGGATGTTTGCCTCCTTGTCTTCGCGGACTTGAAGCTTACACATAAATTTGAGTTCACATACATGTTGTTTATCCTCAATTCTCCATGGGTAGAAGTGCTTAAGCGGCAAGTTGTGACAAATTTTACATACTACAAAAAAATTGGGTGCAATAACATCAGAGGGGAAATTCAGTAATTAGTATCTGAAAAATTAGTGACATGTATAAGTGAAGTTTGTTTACTTGATGTTTCGTACGTATACATATAATAGCTGGTTACTTTATTTATAAAGTAGGATAAAAGCCTATTTCGAGAGATACGTATCGTAGCCATATATAGTATTGCGTTTGCCTTGAACACTAAATTCAGTCTTTCAAAAAAAAATCTATAGCCATAGTGAAGCCTTCTGGCATGTGCATGAACCAAACACTACATTAGCTTCCCTTTGAATTACGAAGGCACCAACTACAAGTTATGTAAGTGTATGAAAACCAATCATCAAAGCTGCAAAAAAATGCATCAGAAACAGAAACCAATGTAGGAGAAAAGCACTGGCATCATCACGGTCATGCTCATGAGCAAAACCCACCAAAGATTGGCTGGCTAGAAGCCGTCGACAGCATCACACACATAGAGCGTGCCGGCTGGCCGTTCCAGCCTATGCATAACATGCAGGCAACATCACCACGACACCTAATCCGCCGGCCCGCCTAAATCACGACCACCGCACGCGTTGGCTGCCCTGCTGCTACGTAACCTGGTTGTTGCTGTCGCAAGCGTTGGCTCCCACCATCGCGCATGCACCCAGCTGCTTGACGCCTCCTCTGGCCGGCCGCGTCATGCACTGGCTGTCGCCCGCCAGATGCCACCTCCGCTGCGCCGATAGCACTGCTCCTCCTAGTCCCCGGCGAGCACCCCTACCTTGCCGTCTTCTCCTTCCATCCTCCATCAGGAGCCTGACCGCAAGGCTTGTCGCCTCGTCAGCCATGTCTTCGCGCGCCTGTGCGCTGAAGCTCAGGAAAAAAATTCGTAAGGCGAGCGGCGCGAACTTGGTGGCTATCGGGATCACTCCTAGCCGGCGCATGGAGTCTCCTCTCGACGGCTCTCCGCTGCCCTACCTGCTCTGAGTCCATTGTTTTTGTCAATCTGAAATTGAGTTGAGTTGCTGGCTGCTCTTGGTAGGTGAGAGGGAAGATCCATGGAGGGAGATTACAGAGAAAGGCCGAGAAAAGAGAAGAATAGAAGCAGGGAAAGCAGAGGAAAGGATGAGACCTTGATCTTGAACTTGGTGTCGGATGCCGTGGGCCTAGTTGGGGCGCAGCTGGTAGAAGATCGAGCCGTCGAGGAGGAATTTGCCGCCGAGTCCTTGCTCGGCGCCGCCGCATCGTCAGGTCGTGGCATCTTCGATGCGGATCCCCGTGCCCTGGCTCCCGACTGCTCGCCCGCCTAAGGCGATGATCTTGGCTCTCCGCCAGCGCTCCTTCGTGGCCTCTCTCGGTTTGACCTCGATTTTACCCTCTTTCTCAATCCGATCTCTCTATTTGAGAAACGAATTTGATCCCGGGTTTGATTCCACGTCGGGGAGGACATACAGGATCACCTTTACCTGGACTCCTCGAAGAAATTAAAGAGGGATGGAAGCTTCAAGAGAGTTCGAGCACCATCTCCAGCACCGCCCGCTTCGATGCCGACCACCGTCGGTCACTGCATCACGCCAGACGACCTCGGCGCTGACCAAGCGCTCAATGTGGAAGCCCACGCGCTCGCCCGTGGGTAATTTTCAGAATTAGTACCATCTCGTTTATATTACAATTTTGTCTATATAAATCGTAAAAGCGTATTGTGACGGTGAACCCACGAAGTCAATCCATGCTTTATTATTAGGGAGAGATGTGTAATCATAGCATAATATATAGTTTCAAGAAGGGGGGTGGGGGGGCGCATGCCCCCCTCCCCTAACCCCCAAGCTCTGAGCCAACTTGTGAAGAAATTTTGTTCGGACGGCCAAGTGGGAATTTCTTAGTGGCGTGGATGGTAATCATGTGTATGAGATTTAGCAGGATTTCTGCAGCTCGACGGCCTCGACTGCTGCTTCGGTTAGTCTGGTCTTCTTTACATTTTTGGCGCAGCTGAGGTCGTCATATCCAATGAAATTCTTCATCCCCGTCGCAATCAGCAGTGTGATGGTATATACTACGTTCGGCATCATTCAGGTTATTATTTTGATGCTCAATTGTAGTACACCGTTGAGATTTTATTGTTATTTCTACATGCTCACTTGTTTATCTTATCACCAGATCTATAATCCAGTTGGCCCTTTCAGCAGTACAGTATACTGCCTGATCAACAGTTATTCTCGATGTTACTGGTTTACCATGTTAACAAACTCATCTGGATACACACACGCGCCGAACTAGTCGTGGCTTCACTTTCTGTCTACATGCAGGTTCTCAAACAGCTTGCACGTCACCTCTATTGTACGGTTAATTTGGAGAACGTAGTATACCCGGCTTCCTTTTTCAAATCACCTCTATTGTACGTATGTGTGTACCAGTCAGGCTCCTACGCCACCCCTACGCGCATCACTGTTGAACCAGCACCCCTGAGCAGCTATCATCACCGTTGAACCCTTCCACAGATGTGAAGCACCAGATACCAAATCTCGCCACATGACGAGAATACATAACCTCACTGTCCCAATGAGATAGTAGAAATCTACGTCGGAGCTTCTTCGACTACGTCCAATAAACGAATTCAAAAAGGATCAAACCCCGCAGGACAAACACGAAGAAGAAGTATCGCACCTGCATGGAGACACCAAGATTCTCCTTCCGACCATCGGTCGTCAGAGTGGCAGGCAGAGAGTAGACCAGGTGGACACACGGCGATGCGAGATGGGACAATCAACCAGGTGGACGCGCGCGCTAAAATCCGTCCGTCAAAATAAAAAACGTTTCAGGATCTATACGTGCAGCCCCCCACGTACGGGTTCCAGGTTACGGAGAAAACTCCTCCTAATCGCTAACTAATCCCCTGATTTTCGCTGTCAGCACCGCAAAGAACCAACCAAAAGATGCCACATCACCCAGCAAAACTCAAAACTTTTTTTTAAACGAGCAAAGCTCAAACGGAATCGTTTTAAGTTAAGTTACGTTTATAATCTCATAAACGAATTATACCCGGTGTCCTTTTTTTAACCACCTCGGCCGTACGTAGGCGTGTATGAATCAGGATTCGGGACTCTGCTTGCAGCATCGCGTGGGACTCTGGATATAAAGGCCGTCGATCGTAAGCCGCCGCCGCTCAGGCATTGACTTCTCGCCCACGACCGTACGTCAGGAGCAAGGACCAGATCAGCTAGGTAGCTCCGCCCTGCGCTTTGTTGGCAGCGTCCATCTTCGAAGCAGATCGGCCAGTGACATGATGGCCCCGACGGGGGCAGGCAATGGTGCCGCCCGCCCGCAGGCGGTGCGCTGCTACGGCGGCACGGTGGCGTACGGGTATGACGATGAGTATGACGACGGCAAGGATTACGAACCCTCTCCGCTGGTTGACTGGTACGACCGCCCGGTGGCGTACGATGACGACGA